TATATAAAATCTTTTTAGATATTGATATTGAGTCATAAATGCAGGCTATTTTCCAGAGGTACTTGAGATTTTTCCTTCTTGCTTTGAAAGTTTCAGCAACATTTCCTTTTGGTGCATCCTTAAAAAATTTCCAAAAGTTATTTCTGTAACAGCATTAGGGGACCGGGGATATAGCTCAGTGGCATAAGCTTCTGCTTGGCAAACACAAGGTCCTGAGTTTGATCCCTGTTACAAAAAAAAGAAAAAAGCATTCGTGTTGGGTGGTACTGTAGTGATCATAGTCCACCACCCATCACAAAGAGCGTTTCTGGCGATTCTTCTCAGGTCTGTACTTGCTCACTGGCTCATAGCTGGGCACTAGGATCACAACCCTGACATCAAATCCTGCCTTGCCCAGCTACTAACTATGTGACTTTAGAAGCCTCTTTTTACCTTCATTTTCTTACCATAAAATATTTAGCAATGATTCACAGCTTGCAAGACTGTCAGAAGGACATTTGAATAGTTTAGAGTTGTAAAATATGAGATGCTTCTTCTTCATGTTGCTTCAAAAATAACTAATATTTCTAACATTTATGATACCATTATGAATGAAATGATGAGACGAATACCCTACCCCATTAAAGAGAGCATTTGTATTTACAAGCGCCATTCTCTTTCCACTCCAGACTCTCTTACAAAGGTTTATTTCACATAGATTAAATTCATTATATCATAAAAGTATTGAGGAAGAGTAGAGGAAATAAGGAGAAATGATGTGTGACCTAGGAATAAAGATGAAGGGTGTGCATGGGGCACTGCAGGCAAAACGTACAGAGCAGTTTTGGGAGTGAGGGGTAGGAGAGGAGAGCTGTTTCATCCATTGCTAGGTTTATGACTGAAGCATCTATAATAAAAGGCAAGGGAACAAGAAAAAGGAAACAAATGTACTTATTGCAAGTTTCACATGACACAGGAACCTTTGGAAATTAAAAAAAAAAAAAACAAAACAGGAAAACTTGCATCTGTTGTGCTAAGTTTGATGAGTAATGCATAGTCGAAGAGAAGTC